AACATCATTAACAAACAAACAATTTGCTGTACCCTGCCGCATCCCCACAAACCATCTAAAACCAAACCTTGTGTGATGAGAAAGAATCCCACTCCACCACTTTCCTGAATAAGTCACTCCTTTCTCTTTCTCTTCATTTTCCTGTGTGTCTCTATCGCTCTCTGAGTCCCCAGAGGGAGCAGCAAACTAAATTATTGAGAACACAAAAACGGCTTGGCTAATGGATGCTAAATAAACAACCTCTCAGCCCAGATCCATCTTAGTCTGCCCACAACTCTCTTCAGTCTCTTTAGATGGTCCTAACTATACTCACAACCGTCAATTTTAGTGTGTGTGGTTCACTTTACACAAACTCAGCCTCTCGTTTACTATTGACACGGAAACAGAAACATTATGATTGCTGGAAAAAAAATGGCAATTGTATCCATTGTCGTTCGTCAAGAAGCAAGTATTTCTCTCTTTATAATCAATGTATGTTCAATAGAAATCACTCTAGCCCTAACTCTTCACCCTCTAATATCACAAGCTGAAATAAAGTACTATGAATGCTACAGCAGTGATGAAAAGTAGAAAGAAACCATTCGTGTATTGTGATGTACAGCTAATTAATTATCAAAATTGTAGTCACCATGATCTGTTAGGGTTAAATCTAAAATGTGAGATTGAAGTATGTTTTTAAAAACAACGAGGGCAGGGTTAGAATTTATGCAAGTAGAGGGAGATCCCAGTGCTTTCCACAGGTTTGAAATATGCTTGCATTGGTAGCCAGATTGAAATACACCTTTTACCCACGGCACATAGTTACCTACATGCAACAAAAATAAGTGATTTTTAAAAATATTTTTATGACACTTATATACGGATTCTTTTCAGCGGGTTGAACTTTAAAAAAAATAATAATAATTATTACTTTTTTTGTTGTTGTAATAAAGAAATCCACTATTTGTTTTCCTTTTTTCTATTCAGGAGCCATGTGCACCCACTGGCAGGTCAAATCTGCCGCTGACATTATCTACAGTATTGTCAAATCATGTTAGATATGTTTAAAATATGCTATATCAACTATCAAATTAAAAAAAATTATATACAGCAAATGAGAAATAAACAACAAAGGAACAAAAACAGAAAATATCCTTAAAAGTATAATTACAAGAAAAAAGTAGATTTAAATAAGGCAGATGTAACTGTGTCTAAAGGTTTACAAATATTTTGCAGCCAGTTTAGATGTAATTTAGTCCTCCAAGTCTATAGAACATTTTATTTTAAAGAATTAATTATTTAATGTTTTACTCATTCTTGCAGCTATGCATGTGCTGTCAGCTGCAAAGCCAAGTGAAAGTAAAACAGGCTTAAAATAAAAATGTAATGCAAAAACGCACACAATTAACAACAACTTTAGAAAGCGAAACCAAAAGCTGAATTCCGGACATTTTATGAGATTTAGAAACCCCAGACAAATGTATTAAGTACCAAAAAGGTGCACCTCTGGCGTGTTTGCTTGAGAGTTGACGGTTCTTGCGCGCACACAATGAGCAGTAGGAAACGTGTTGGGCGAGAGGATTTTCCCACTGGTTAATCGATTGCGGATGTTTGATTATATTGGGCAGATACAAAAAAAAAAAAAAAAAAGGAAAAAAAAATGTAAAAGGATGATAATAGTAAAAAAAAAAAAAAAAAAAAAAAAAAAGGCACCAAATATACTTGGCCAGCTGTTAATATACCTGGGTGGCCAAAGTAAAGTCTATTTGTGGAACTTCTGCTTTCACTTTTTTTCACATTGTAAACATCCGAGGCCCTGTTTACACTAGTGCGTTTTAGTTTTAAAACGGCGATTTAGATCAAAAACGTTCCGCGTCCACACTAGCGTTTTACCTAGCGTCTCTGAACATATCTCTGTCCACACTACGTCACCGAAAACGTATATCACGTGACCATTCGCGCACTCTGGGCATGCGCTTTCTAGTATAAACAGGAAGCGTGTGTCTTGCTTAGCATTTGGTTATTGTTAATCAACAAACGCCGGTTGGACATTAAACGTGATGGCAAAGAAAGCATGAGAGGTATTTTTGTGGACAGACAACGAGGTCGAGTTTTTACTAAACGTAACAAATAAATAACTGCACAATGGCGTCTAAAACAGACAACAGTGCAAACAACGCTCCCATTTCTGTGCCCATGTTGTTGATTACAGTACTGTCTTCCAGTAGCAGTAAAGCCATGTGTTATAGTCATGTGATAGTGGCTTGACGAATGAGGGAAGGATACACAATGACACAAAAGCCCCAATCATGTAGCGAATCTCACCAGTCCCGCCTCGGTTATCAGATGTCTCTGTTTTTCGTCATCCACACTGAAACAGAGCAGCAGCGTTTTAGAATGAAAATGGCCTCTCCAGCGTTTCCAAAACGCTCCATTTTCGACGCTCAAGAACTCCGGCGTAGTGTGGACGGATGGCGTAACCGCAGAAAAACTTAAAACACGGGGCCTGAGACGCAGTAAAGTGTCCACCATGCATTAACACGTTCAGATGAGTCTCTTGTGGCCACTTGAGTTTGGATTCCGTTCACACCCTTAGCTCTTATTTTGCCACACTGTTCTTCGCCTTCATGGTGACAATCAGCATGACCAACAAGATGGCAACATTTCAGTTGTAACCCGTGTGTTTTTGGTATAACACAGTAAAGTATAGCCACCTTGCTTTTATGCAATCTCACAACACCGCCAAGATTGATCATTTGTTAGGTCAGAAGGTGTAAAGTAGGTGGTCTTTCACAATCAACCATATGATTAATTTTTGACACCCCTGGAAGTGGCTAAACATTGAAAATGGATAAATAAAACAAGAAACATTTAGGGATTAATGGCAAATGTCCATTGATTGTGGGGAATTATGTCAGTGGAACAGCATGTGCTCCCTGTAGTAACAGTCAGTTGTGTCAGTTCTTAGCTCAACTGAAAATCAGCGGAAACACAGTATCACAGGTACCCCAGCCAAGAATCTGCAATATTTCAGTGGAAAAAGGGATACATAGTGAAGAGAGTTCTTTAAGAAACTCTGAATAGGAGGCAAGGTAGAAGTTCAACCTCTGTATTGTGGAAAGATTTAGTCATTCAGACAAAAGAGTGTTTTGCATTCAGCAGGGCATCGGAAGATACAACCACTACAGAAATGTTAAATAAATGAAGAGACACAAGAGAGAATTCTTTCTAGGATTAATCCATTGCTGCATCAAGCCCCTGAGTTCACACATATGGCTTCTCCAGAGGGGAGCACAGCTGGGGCCCAGGTGTGTGTGTGTGTGTGTGTGTGTGTGTGTGTGTGTGTGTGTGGGGTAATGCTAATGCACAGTGATGAGGATTTCCTGATAAAACAAATCCACCGGGACACTGACAGAGAAAGTCAGAAAAAGACTAGACTATACAAATCTTGCTGATTCCAGGAAACAAGGTGGACTGCTTAAGACTATAACAATAAATCAGCTCAGTTGCTTACAACAGAATCAGCCATTTCTTCTTATTTCTCAGTGTGTATTGCTGAGCAGTTACAAGTACAAATGTCAATTTGCACGACTGGTGAAAGTCTCTGCTAGAGCCAATGAGTCTGTACTACATAACTCCTGAAGCCATAATTTCCCATCAGGCAGGGTTTAGCTCTTTCTCTGCTGATCCCACAGTAGAAGTCGTCTGAGAATGTAAAGCAAGGTTTAGGCTCTACTTTTGAGAATGTCTACCCTGTGCTTTTGTTCTTTCTTACATCCACAACACTGCATACTGGACATAGAATTGGGCCTCAGTCGAAGCACTGCAAGCTAACAGTGAGTGGAAAAAAACAGGACAGAACAAATGATTGAATTGGCTCATTAGAGACCAACTAGATCCAAATGGCAAATGACAGCAGAACGCTGTCCGCGAAGGAAAAAGAAGGGGTTCAGGAAGCTCCAAATTGCAACTAAGCGGTCACATTTGTCCATGCTGGTTCAACATGTCCGACTGGTGCTACAATTTTGTTCCAATTTGTGCTGGTACCCCCACTTTTTCTTCATTTGCTGAATTTTTTTATAAGGAAATCTGAAATGGTCCAACCAAACTGAACCACAAAGCATCTGGAAATCTAAATGGACAGTGCAGATCAGGTCAACATGGAGCACAGACCAGTCTGAACAGTGCTGATGTAACCTCTAAAGGTCTACTTACCCTATTCAGTGCATGATTTAAACCTGCCTCGAAGAGCACATGAACACTAACATGCATGCAAAAGAATGCAACATCTAGCATCAATCGCAAGAGCGCCTCTAGAGGCCACAGAAGTAAGATTTAGGTGTACTTCTTTTTATATGGCCCCTATAACACTTATCACACCAAACCCAATTTCATCAGTGTTGTGGCACTATTGTAAACTCTTTGGAAGAGCGAAGCTACTCAGAGTGAAATCTGAATAGGAAAAAGGTGCGATAACAAGTAAACGAAATAGCATTAGTAACAAGTGTGACTCTTGAGGCCAAAGGAGTGAGGTTTACGACAATAATTCTTACTAGCTGTCCTCCATTTACACTGGTCACTGTTGAGGGAACTAGTTCAAGTCAACATTGTTGTAACCCAACTTTGGTTCAAATATGGACAAATCCAACATTGGATTAATTTTTTCAATTAAATTTAAATGACACTTTTTTACCCCAGTGAAATATAACCAACTTTGGGGTATAGCAATCCAGAGTGTTCAATTTAAACTTGGGCTATATTTACATTCATGGTTAATTTGGGTCAGGGGTGTCCAAATTCAGTCCTGGAGGGTCAGTGTCCTGCAGGTTTTAGCTCCAAGACCTATTAAACAAAACTGAACCAACTAATCAAGCTCTTTAGGTACACTGGAATCTTCCAGGCAGGTGTGTTCAATGAAGTTGGAGTCAACTATGCAGGACACTGGCCCTCCAGGACTGAGTTTGGACACCTCTGACTTGGGTCAATGAACTAATAAACTATTATTTCTCTACACGTCTTACCTTCTTTTTGTCTCTCATGGAGCTTCTCCCTCTCACCATGATCTTGCAGCCAGTCTCTGCCTCCAGTTGCTTCGCTGTGAGTCCACGAGGGCCAAGAATTCTCCCTACAAAATTATACTGGAAAGAAAAGAGAGACAAATTAAAATGCATTCAGAAACAGAGATGTCATGAAGAACATATTATTTAAATAAAAGGTTTATCAATAAATAAATGTCAATTTAAATCACCATGCTGTTAATCTAATTCCAAATTTATTGGAACATAAAAGTAGGGTTTATTGGCTTTAGCTTTATAACTGTTCCAAAGAATGAAAGTTAACATTGACAGACTGGCTTCCTGCTCTGGTCTACTTTTGTGAAAAGATAAAAATGTCATGAAGGCTAAGAACAACATTATTGGTGAGGGAAGTAAATCTGTACAATCTGAGCTGAGACACCATTTAAAATACACAAAATCCTCCATCTGATACTGAGCAAAGTATGTAATTGTGCATTTCAAGGAACACAACATTAATACATTTTATTAGTTCCGGTGTAGCTTTCTGGAAAGCAATTTTCACAATGTTTTTCAAACTAAAAAAAGAAAGAAAGTGAAAATACCTCAACTGACCAGGTGGCTAATTAATCTTTCACCTAAGGTAGCCATTTATGAGCGACAGCTTGAGGGAATGAGGATGCCGGACAGAAAAGGAAAAGCTTGAAAACATAGTCAAGCTCATGTTTGCCAAACAAAATGCTAAGCAGTGCTGCAAAGCCTCTTTCTTGCTTGCTTTTCCTCCTTTCTGCTCTTCATTTTTTATGTCCTTCATAATTCTTTCTTTCTGTTATCATGCTGCGAGGCACAGAAAAGGAGGAAAGCTGGCCGTATGTAATGTAAATAAGAAATGAAACAACGGGGGAGAATTAAAGAATGGGAGGGGTCTTATCATGGCCCTTGTCCCTGACGCTGTGCTCCGGGGCTTTGTCTGAGAGCACGCTTTATTTACCTCTATAATCCTCCCAGCTTTACCATGCCTCTCCGACAGCACAGCTCCGAATAAAAATAATAAAATAAAATCCACCCTTTTTCACTCTTTATCTCTATCAGTTCACTTCTCTGACTCAGGGTAAAGACAGAGAGAGCCAGTCGCCTTGTAAGTGCTTAATCCTGTCCTGTACGAATAGAGCCCACATCCACACTACAGCTTAACATGGTTGTCGCTCCGCTTTCGAATGCATAATCCAGTTCTGCATGCACACACTTTGGTTATTTATGAGCGTTATAGTTCAATTAGTGACAACCAAAAAAAGTAATGTTAATTAAAAAACAAAAAAGTAGCAACTGAAACTACTTTTGCTCAAATAAATTCTCTGTTTCACCATTAATCACAATGATTGTGTTGTAAAATCTTTTAAACAATTTTGTAACCTGATAATTTAAGTGCTTAAATACAGGGTCAGCATAACATATGTTAATATGTTATCTAAAAAGTACTTGTATGTAAAGGTATAATAAATATAAAAAGTACAAAATGGACAATACTGTACTAAAATGTTTAACTTTAATGTTAATTATTGTGGAATTTAAATGAACTTTTTTGTTTTCGATTTTCCAGTACATTTTAAAATGTATTTATGTGAAGGCAACTAGGGCTGTGCAATTAATCCAAATCGGATCACAATAGCATTTTAAAATGTTGGGATTAGTTAATCGTAAGTGGCTGTGGTATGTAATATATGTATTATTTATTTCTCCCGACCAGAGCAAATGCGTGACTGCCGGCTGTGTGAGTCTTACTAGCCAATTTCGTTCTGCCCAATCAGAATTGCACAACAGAATTATGCGGAACATCCACAATAAAAAAAGAAGACAAAAAGAAAAAGGCAGACAAAACATAATAGACAAGTTAATATAAAAGAAAAACCGCATAGGCAACATGGAAATATTTTGGTTTCAAAGTCACAGACACCAAACAACTGGCAATTTTTAAGAGATGTCATATAATTATTGCCACGGCTTACAGATTAAGCAAAAGCTCGACTAAAAAATAAAATCACAAATAAAAATGCAAATCGCAATTTGTTAAAATAAACTTATGAACTGAATAAAAGAAAAAAAAAAACATGATCAATTTCAGTGCATCGTTTCAGTATAAGTTTTTTGTTGTTGTTGTTGTTTTTATTTTACTAACCCCAAATTTTCAAATGTAGTGTCTCTGCATTAAGAGAGGAATTGCATGCTTGCTTTGTTGAATTATGACACAGTCACACATTGTTAAAGAAGGTCAACCAGCTCTGGTCATGTATAATTTGTTTAAATAGCTGTTTTAAATAAGTAGCACCACAAAATCAAAATAAATAAATAAATAAATAAAAATAAAAAAACAACTGCAATAACATTTCTTTCCCCAGTAGCAAGGGGATCTAACAGCTACAATACTGAACTATTGCCACTTTCTAATTAAAAGCCATATATCCCATATATAATGTGGTTGGGTATTGTCTGGGATTATTTTGATACTGGTGCTAAATTGACACTTTTAAGATGGTAGCTGTGACAAACATTGCCTGAACCAATACTTTTGAATTGAATTAATATATTTCTTTTGATAATTTTTTGTTAGAATGAATTTAAGATTTGCATTATGCAATTAACATTACATTAGCTTACTACTTGAAATTAAAATTATATTACAACTACTAGAGAGACAACTACTACCTGTGGAAATTAGGCACGGAGATTCATATGCTTATTCGGTCTGATGCATAATGGTTACATGATGGCATTAGGCTTTGGTACCCAACCTTAGTTCTAAAATGTTGCTGTGTCAACCATCAGAAATGACTCCTGTATTCACTGTCTTCACTGCTAAAACTTTGCAGAGTTAATTAAGATCAATAGAAAGGGGTCTCTTAAAGACAACACACTATTAGTCAAACCCAAAGATAAACAGAACATTGTATAAACAGAAAAAAAACAATGCTGTTTCTCTCCAAAAGCTTGTCACTTGAACACAGGCGACGCATTGTAAATCTGACAGCTCCAACTGTGTAGGTGGATCAGAACCGCTGGAGTTCTTTCCATACATCCCGAATGCTCTCTCATGAGACTTGGGGCAGCATACACATGTAAAACTGAGTAGTGCTGTAAACTATCACATGACATCATCATCAGGAGACAGCCAGAAGTGACAATCAATGCCTTGGGTAAACATGAGCGCTGAATGTCCCTCACATAACCCTCACGTACACTGTAAACAAAAACCAGACACTGATAAAACAGCTACAAAAATACATATCCAACAACGTCGAGAACACAATGATGTGATTTCAGGATGATCAGTCATCATCAGGACTTTCATCACTTCCTCTCTTTCACAGGAGCGCAGTATCGCACCTGCATGATCTCTCTCTGTCTCTCCATGCAGATTAGAGCGGATTCTCCTCTGTGCGTCTGTGTGTGTTGATGTTGATTGGACATGGCAGAGAGCAGCGGCCTGATGCGGTGGGGGAAATTGCTCACTTTGAATACTGGAACCAGACAGTAATTACAGCCTGGAGGAGATGCCACCATTTTACGTCCTGTACATGGAGGCATGAGGGGAATGACACAGGGGGAAGGAAAGAGAAAAAGCTACAGTTTTCAGACCACAAGATAAGAGAATGTTTTGACTCTGGTAGCACATTTTTTTAAGAGATCATGAGAAGGGCAGAGATCACCCACAGAATGCCTGGAAAATTCCACTTCAGCGCCACATAAAAGAAAAACAACAACAAAAACAAAAGAGGAATCTGGGTGTCGACTCGTTTAATGAGCTCAAAAAGAGAGAAAATAATCTAATAAACTCTAGACTCACCACACTGAAAACACAACAGCTTGACCTTAGCAGTTATTTATTCAATTTAAATGAAACTTCACATATTACAGCTCAACTCAAAATAATGCTTGTATTTCAGACAGACAAGGGAAAGAAACTGACTGAAATAGTTCAGACAAAACCAAAAATAAGCACAGTAAGAGAAACATTATGAAATCAGACGCTTCTAGTCTAGACAGCTTTGCAGAGCATAATGCGAGCTACCTTCAATGTACTTTTGTTGTGTCATTCTATTCAAACTTTCATTGGTTTCAAAACATTTTGCAGTAAAGAGACACTGGGAGCACATAGAAGATTTAATATCCTGTAAATGACCAAGAATAGTAAATAATAATTATTATTTTATTGTAATTATCATTTAACGCACAGATGTCAAATCCAGTTCCTGGAGGGCCGCAGCTCTGCACAGTTTAGCTTTAACCCTAATTAAACACACCTGATCAAACTAATTGAGTCTTTCGGGCTTGTTTGAAACCTACAGATAAGTTTGTTTTGAAGCAGGGTTGAAACTAAGGCCCATCGTTTTAGAATTAAAACGATCCGCGTCCACACTAGCGTTTCACCCAGGGTTTCTGAACAACTCTCTGTCTACACCAAAACACTGAAAACGCACATCACATGACCACACACACTCTGGCATGCGCAGCAGCCTATCTAGACAGGTGAGAGCTGTGCTCGGAGAGCTTGTCAAGGATCTCCTGCTGGATCTAGTCTCACTATATTTGTTAAATGTGATATTCATTTCATTTTGTTGTCTATTTCTTACAATATATACCCCAACTTTGGTCTTTTGAAGTCTATTACTTGGGTAACGTTTTTTGGCTGAGCGCAAAGATAAGTTAAGAATTAATGTAACCACGTACATTCTGCATATTGACTGATTGCTTGCCTTCATTTCCTGTAATGTATAAACTTATTGTACGTTATACTTTTATAATGGCCATTATTGATATTAAAACTAATATTCAGCAAAAAGAGAGGGTATGTTTCATATTTTCAATGAAAATAATGAGGCAGTAATGTTATAGGCTCCGTCTTGTTATGAATAGGCTATGGATACAGTGAAGATGACGCTCATATATGCAGCACAATGCCTCAACATTTCTGCTGTCTGTTAAGTTGTTAATATCAAAAGTAAAATAGGCAGTTCCTTATATCATGTTTTCATTTTATTATTAAGATACAGTGAAACAACATACCCAGGATGATGTGAATAAGGTTATAAAGTATACTCTTCCCTTTGAAAATTTACCGACATGTG